AGACGCAGCATAAAATAAATCACTGTGCGAAGTAGTAAATGATAACCTAAACCTGAAGAAGTACAATAAAGCACGAAGAAATAAAGGAATACTAGTTGCTATATTGAAAAATATTTTATGATGAATAGATTTTTTGCTGCATATATCTATTTTAAAAGATAATAGAACTATATAAGGAAAAAGCACCCTAAATAAATTTTAAAAAACAGAAAACTGTCTACACTTACGGCCAGTACCAATAGACGGACGAGAGTAATGGCTTGGGCCTTGCTGAAATGTTACGGGATGATGCTGCGGAACAGGTTGATAACCTAAAAAACAAAAAAATTTCACACAATTATGGATATCTTGAACTACACAAACAATGTTACGGGCAGCAACTTTAATAATAAATTTAACTGTCTAACTTTGGAAAAAAAAATACAAAACAATATGTCTGGTTAAAATAAAGCATATGGCGTGCATTAGTCTTTCTGATATCTTTTGATTCAATCATCCATACATGTCCATTATTTTGACTCCCTAACTTTCACCGCCAAAAAGCTGCAGTATATTTCATTTCACTCACGATTACCATGTTGCAATCAATTTAGCATCATGATATATTATAGAATACTACTGTATTTTTTAAATTTCTGCAGTATTTGTAAAAATTCAAGTTATAATGGATAAAATGAAATTGCTGAAAAAGAAATAGATTTTCCAGAATTATCTTAGGTACCGATGGTTGCAATACCACTTTCTAAATAAAAAGTTTAGTACTTTTGGAGAAAAAACAAAATTCATTTATGCTAAGACATTACACTATTCGATCCTTATCGATTCCTTCTCGATCTATCTATCTGGCTTCCACATAATTAATATTTTTACAGCATGGAAATCAAAATATTTAAAATTCGAATCTTCCCACATTAGTTAAATTCGACTGGCAAAGTAAATAAAAGAAAATTCTTCTTTAACCTCTCCCTACTGATGTTAAATAAGGGACTTGCTTACTATTTATATGGGTAATCAGCTAGATAATCGCTTGGGACTGATTATGAAAGACTGAATTAAACAGGCTTCAATGAAATGGTGCTTATTTACTACCATATATCCTACCACAGTTGATTCCATTACTACTGCTCATAACATAATTTGCGTTCTTGGCAAAACCAAGAAATAAAAGTTCCATCTCGAAAAGTACTGATTGTTGAATTGCTTAAAGATGTATAAAAAAAAACTGTGGCGAAGCACATAAACGAAAAAAATTCATGAAATACATGGCAGCAACAACTACATCCGAAAATTATCGTATCTCAAGAAAAATCTCATATAAAGAGAAAAATGATAACAAAAAGTTACAATAATTAATATCTTTCCAAAAACAAAAAGCACAGAGCAAAAAAGGTGAATGGTCCAACGACTTTCACCGGAGAGGACTAAAATTGAACGATGACTAAGGAACTGTGTGAAAACTGTTAAATCAGTAAATACTTTGCTAGAAAGTTTCAGTAGAAAAGGTCTTCCAAGTACGTCATCATTAATTGAGATTTTCACCAAAAAATTATTGGAAATATGAGTTCAGAACTAGAGCCAATAACTAATGCATGAAAAAAGCCTTATTTGCGGTGAAGAATCTAACTTCAAATTGTACTGTGGTGTAACTTCCACTAAGATAAAAAGTTTCCCATAAAAACTGATTGTAATGGGACATGTATACTCGACAAAATATAAGAACAACATATAAACTATGAAAAGTCCGTTAAGTTACCTAAAGATAAAAAAGAGTAAAGAACAATCTTATTTTTAAGCACTCTGTGCTGGAGGAACCAAACAATTACAGATGTTAGAAAATAATTTTTCAAATTAACTGTTAGTGAAATACTAATGAAACGACCATAAACAGTGCAACAGCAGCTTAACAGAAGTGAAAAAAACAGCAAAAAATCTAAAATCTTCAAATGCTACTCAATGTATGGAATTGTGAAGATGTACACACATGTATACTTATTCACAACGTCATACCCATTGCGTAAATTTTCAGTAATAGGTTACGAGAAATATATAACACATATGTTTCAAACATCAGTAATTCAATGAACTTAACTACTGAATGACTTCTAATACTTCTGAAGCATGAGTTCGATTCTTATACAAAAGTTACGTTATCTTTGCTAATATGCTATCAAAAAATACTGTACATTACTTTTTGGAATCTACGGTCTTGAAAATTATTGGATATAAAACAATGTGAAGCCGAGTCTACCTACATACGTTTCTCAATTTGGTTTACAATAGGAATTTCCGACATGTTTTTCCCAACCTTTTTTATAGAAAACCACTTCACCAACATAGATCAGTAATATACTTTTAATTTTCCTACTTTAATCATTTGGATTCCAGAAATCTCTAACGGTAAGTTAAAGATGGATATAAATATGAATGAAGCAAAACTAGTTATTGACCTTCCCTGATTGGAAATATAAGAAAAATTCGTGAATCTAACAAAAAAGGTTTAATCTTTTATAACTTCGCCATTAAACTGTCATCATAAAAAAAAATAGAAGTTAAAACGTACCTGCAATGTAGGGTGGTTGATTAGGGTATAGATTATAGGGGGTTGTGGTGTAGACATGTTGTTGCGCTTGAGTTGATCGATTAGCAAAATGCTCCATTTGTTTTTTTGATATGTCACTATTTTCTGAACGAATTATTTTCACAGTCCAACTGCTGCTATCTACTGGAAAGCGATAGCTAATTATTATAAAAACCATAAAGACAAAATTTCCTTACCTTGATGAATATTTATGTGCAAACAATAAGTCTCTTCCATGTCAATGACATTGCACTTATTCTAGACGGAAAGGCTACCTAGGATCTGTTCTGCAGTAGTGGTCACACACACATACAATTGTGATTGCCTTTGCACAGTGATCACAAAATGAAATATGCTTAGAGACAAGTATTCACTAGGAAAAAGAAGCAGTACTTCAGATAAGTGAACAAGCTTTGTCTCAAAATCCAATCCCTGTCACTGATCGAGACAAAACTTCTTCAAATATACCGTCTGTCAATCTTCCTGTTGAAAATAAAGCCAATTCTTCACAAACAATTTCTGAAAACGATTTATTCATATTTACATACGAAAATGGGAATAATACTAAAAACGATGTCTTAGGAATAGTTCAACATGAAGCAGGAAAAGGAGAATAAAATAAATCATTCATCATGGACATATCTTTACAACACTGTTTACCAATCAACAAATATAATATTTTGTACAGGCTAATATTTTGTTACATAACGAAAATAGCAAAACTTCCAGAATATTGCATTCCACCGCGTTATTTGCGGTACTTAATAAGTTTGGAGTATTTCAAGAGAATATTTCAGAAGTACAATCTGATTAAACTTCTTCCCTGATCTACTCTATTCCTTTTCCTTTTGTCCTCCTCCTTTCCTTCATTCGCTTCCTTCTATCAGATTTTTAGGCTAGGTAATGTTTTGCATTCTTTAAACTCTTACGGCCAACAAACAGATAGAGGAACAGCATGTATAATATAGCTATTGGAACCATTTCCTAAAGTTGGCAGATGGGATAGTGAGAGAGAGGTAAGAAAACTGAAGATCCTGGGATAACAGACTGATGAGAACAATGAACAACAGAAACTCGCTGACAATTCATTTGACAGTTCGAACGAAAGAAAAAAGGAAATTTGGAATTACGAATCACAAGGTCATAGGTGATTACATCACTCAGATTACCATAATCTGTTGCTGCTTGTTCGGCATATTCTGTCCTGTACAAAAAATGGAAATTTACTTACTCAATAACCAAAACATACTCAAAGTCCCACCGGAAACCTACCACACCCACCCCACCTCTAAAAACTATCCCACCTATCCCGCCGGACCATCAATCAACGAAGTAACACACTACCGTACCTACTGATCGAATTGCGTGTTTTCCTGTCAAGATCACAAATTTAATTGAATAGCACACTTTTCCCGGTATTCAAAAACCTTCCCGTTGACGTAATTGGAGAATTCCGGGAGGATTAGGTGAGTGATTTATTTATACGACTAGTTCGATGACAGTCTTACAAACTGCTTCGTTGAAATTGAAAAGAAAACGGAAGCTATAAATCTTAGCAAACTCAATAGTACCTTCATTGAAAATAGTCTGCAAGATATAGTGTGGTTGCTAACTAATGTGAGTTTCCTCAGGAGATCAATTGGCTGATAAATTATGATAAATTGGTGGAGTGAGAATTTGACTTGAGGAATACCAGAAGTGGAACAGTTCAGGAAATCCAGCTTGAAGAGCCTTGTTCATCTTAATTTCTCAACTTAACAAAATTCCAAAAGACATATAATAAATTTATCCAAATTAAATACGTCCCTCAATTAATTAAAGTCGCCATTTACAGTAAGCTTACTTTACCATTTATGACAACTTTAAAATCAATTTCTAACTTAAATTAGTTTTCGAAAATAGCTGAGATCAACTATTCTATTACTCACTCAGAAAATTTTCTGCTACAAACATATTTTAGGCAACACATGAAGTGTGATTGTAATTTTTCATATCTTAGAAGGAGACTCTTTGTTTGTTGGGTTAGCTGTACTGAAAAGTGATATCGTTAAGCCCATTAGAAATTACTTGGTCAGTAAAAAAATTTAAGAGAATGAAACCATGAAATAAAGTTCAAAAATTAATTTTTGCATCGTAGAATTGATGACTTATACAGGAAAGAAGAAATGACATGTCGATAATAATATTTTTGGAAAGAAAACAGTTTGCAATATGTCTGAATAATAAAAAATGATTTAAAGTTTCGGTAAATAAATTAAGAATAATAAAGTTTTTCTACCAATTTCAGTATTATAGAAAAATTGTGCATTGTGCCTGTAAGCCACCAATTAATAGAATATCCTTTTAAATTAAATTTCGATAAGGAAACATTTTTAAATGGATGAAATTTTCAGTAAACAACTCATTTAATGCTTGCGCCAAGATGACTTATTCATTCAAATTTTGGAAGAGATGGAATCACGAAAGTAGGCATATGGTATACAATAACACTTCATAATTCTGTAAAAAAAATTCTTTAAATTTGAAAGATATACATTACTTGATCAACGTTTATATGAAATTTCGAATCAACAGTTATCTTTGAAACAGGAAAGAGTCGTAAAATAGATTTCTTCAACCAACAAAAACAGCATAAATGATTCTTAGAAGTTCTTATTACCAGTTGAAAAGACCAGAAATGCTGTCTCAGTATTTATTACAAAATTTCGATATGAATCTGAGTGTTAATTTTTTGGCAAATATCAAAGTATTTGGAGCTGATATTATTATATATTAACGTGAAGATTATGACCTCTTTTTAATTAATTATCTGTTGATACTGCCTGGAACCTAATGTGAACCTAATTTGAATCTCAAATTGAAAACAGTCAAAATTGAAATTTCAGTATAAAACACTGACAGCAGCTTGTTTCGCATGTATCATAGTCATCAGTACAAATATATTTATTATACAAAAATTTATTAAACATTTACCAACAACTGTGCTTGCTATTTTGGAAATAGTCCTAGTTTTGTCAATTTTATTAGCACTTATTCTCGCTGCCATTCTCAAACGACGAGATTTGTTGAGCGTCTATATGGTTTCTGCGGTAAATAGTAGACATTCAAATAATTCTTTAAGAGGAAAAGCCTCCAGTGATAATTGAGCACGACACAAATCATTTAAAAAGTTTTATAAAAGAGATATTCGGCATGTTTCATTAGTAACGATAAAAATTATTAATAATGATATATTATTAAAATGTCATTCGCTTTTTAAATCTCGTTTATAAAAGGATTTTAATGCCATTAATTTTAAAGGTTATATAAGCTCTCGCTCATGTAGAAACCTTCAAGAAATCTATCGAAGTTAAAATAAAACATCTTGTTTTTCTCGTAAAGAACAAATTCAAAGAATTATAGCAACTTGGAACAAATCCGAAATGTTATTTTTCGCCAACGACATTTTTAAATCTAGTGAAAGTTATGTCAACATTTGTTAAATTACAGTTTATATATTCTCAATATCGTGTCATAATCGCTGTTACTGCTGTTTTGATTGCTATATTCCCACAAACTTATTTATTAGCACTTTCAAGTCAGCAATATAGCAGGTCACAAGGTCCATTATGCTGGTAATTTATTCGTTCGTATAACTAGCCAATTCAGAAAATGCGAAACTGAGGTTGTTTAAGTAGAAATTTGATTCAGATATAAATTACCCAATCGATAATGCCCACTATATATCGAATAATTGAAAGATACTATCGTCTTTTAATATCGTTTCAGTGAAAATATATTATTTGCAGTGCAGATAGTGTGGATATCAGTTTGTTTTGCAAGCATCCTAGTATGGATAGTGCAAATGTTATCACTATACCTTGCTATCACGTATCGTTCTTATTTACCACGATCTAAGAGACAGAAAAGAGCATCAGAAGCAGTTCCTAAGAAGAAACAAAGTGAAAGTGTAATGACATCAAATGTGGTGGAACAGCATCTGCAACCAGTTCTCGACCATCAATTAAAACCACTATCCAAAAGAGAGTCACAACCAGTTTCTAAGGAAAATCTACAACAAGTTCCCGAAGGTGGATCACTGCAACCACTCTTCGCAAAAAATCAGCAACCGGTTTCATTTCTATCAACGGATGGTCGAACTAAGGACCAAGCGAAAGAACAGCACTAATAAAGAAGCAAACAAAATTACTCAGATTCTTATTTGAATTCCGACAAATGCGCTTAAATCTCCTTCATAAAGAGAAATCGATTAAAGAGCAAAAAGCATTCTGTTTACAGAAAGAAATATAATTTGATTATTTTATCTCGATCCATCCAATCCATTCACTAAAACTTATTAGATTCAGATTTTAATTTTTTTTTTTTGAATTTTTGTATGATTTAAACATATTTTATTTGAATTTAAATTTCCCTTTGTAAATTGTTGTTTGCTGCTTCAAAATAAGGAAAAATTACGCGAGTAATTCACTCATATTTACTTTTTAAGATTGCAACAACAAATAAGAAATATTTCATGATAAACACTATATTCTAATCTTCATCTCAAAATCTGAAGCAGTTCATGATACTTATAATAAGACGTGAGATGTCACACTTTCACACGTGAATAGTACGAGAATGCTAACTTAAGCAAGAGAAGAACTAAAAATGAAACTAAAAAGTAAAAAATTATCGTTGTGATTGATATCATCATATTATATAATCTTGACTGTAATTATTCTTCTATCTCACAAACCCTTGAAATGTTTAGCTAATTGTACATTTACTTTGCTAATGCTTTGAACTACAAGGTTATTGCTGATATTTAGACCTAATTAAACTTAAATGTGCAAAAAAACTAATAGTCAACTTCCACTGTACAGTATTGCCAACACTTTTATTTAAAAAATCTGAACTAAATTATTAGTCAAAATGATGTAAGGCAGTTTGCATAAAAATTACACAGACACCTACAAACTTCTTCTTCTTACAATACAAATTATAATAAAACAAACTTTTTATAGTAGAATTTTTTTATAGTAAAATTTATAGTGAACTTTTGAAATGAATTATTCATACAGTTCTAGTAAATTTGCTTGAGATGAATTTTTTATGTGAGCAATTTGCAGTATCTTGTAAAAACCTTTTCTAAGTATGATGCTTCAACCCAAATGAGTTCATGCTAACATTATCATTCCTATCTCAGAAATTTTTGCATAACGGAAAAATGACTTATGACGAAGAAGTAATTAAAGGAGAAGAATACGGGTGAAATGTCATTTTGTTTATACTATCTAGATGTAAGGTGCTCCTTCACCAATTATTCTTTTGAAAAACAGTATTTTCTCTAATTAAGTGGTATGGCTATTGTAGGTTATGTGCTTTGCATAAAACTAATTGAAGTTTACGTCACGACACAATTCCTTTCTCTTTTTGTTTTGTAATTTTGCTTCGCTGTATCATCAAGTTCTTGGCAGAATTTTTAATTTTAGTCTAATAACAGGCGGGATGACGAATACTCAGCCTGAAGAAGAAAGCAAAAGTTCTATTCTTGACGATTTGCCAAAAAAAGTGTTGGATGAATCATATTATCATGGATTCCTTCCTCGTGAAGATCTCCCATGTTTGTTAGAGCAGGTTGCTATTTCAATTAGCAGTTTATTATTCGTTTTAATTATTTTTTTTCTGTTGCTACTGATTTGATCGAAATGCACACAACTGAACTCAAAAGAAGTATTAGTACTAATTAATTTAATTAAGTCAATCACTTATTTAGTTTTTCCTTTCAATGCTTTCTAATCTTCAGCTTCTACAATATATCATTAATTAATCTCCTTTTCTTTTTACATTTGCCAGTAGTTTTATGGTTCGGGTTTAATTTCACTTGGAAGGCCAAGCCAACAGCCATAAAAACGGTTGGATTCACTTATACAAACTAATCTTTGCGCTTTAGGTGGGAGATTTTATAATTCGAATTACTCAACTGAAACCACGTGATCCATGTGAACTTATTTTGTCATTGCGCGTTTCTGATCAAAACTCGCCATCTGCAGTACGTTGAATATAGTCATCTTTTTTTACAAAAATTCGAATGGAAAACCACAGCTTATTTGCATGTAATGAGAGTTTCAAATGATAGTTGAAACTGATCATTTTTGTGATCCCAATATTAAAACAAAGTTTTAATTTTTAAATAAATTGTAGATTAGACATGTAGTAATACATAGGCTGAAAGGAAAGGATGGCAAAATTGAATGGCTAACAAATCAAGAAAATAGATTTAATTCACTCAAAGAACTTATTGATGCATATGTCTCTAGCAAGAAACCAATCAATCCTGAGGTATGCTCTTCAGTTTGATTTAGAAGAATTGGAAATTTTGTGAATAGCACTTAATGTTGACTAAACTTTGAAAAAACTTTGAATTTCGAAGGTTTTAGATTACTTCTTTTAAATATATTAAGTGTCATAAACATCTTTTTTTCTGGCTTAGAATTTTTTTTTTTTGAAAGTTTAGAAACCATTTTATGCTTTTTTTTTAAAAAAGTTCTTTTTTGTTTCATACGAAATTTATGATAAACTGAGTGAAATCACTTGTTCAGTCTTACAGATAAAAACATCTCAATTAATTCGACCAATAGCACGACAATCATGGGAATTTTTGCATGAAAATATTATACTAAAAGACATGCTTGGAGAAGGACAGTTCGGTGAAGTTCGTGCAGGTGAAGCAATAATTGACGGCAAAAAAATACCTGTGGCTGTCAAAATTGTAACTGTTTGAGATTCTCTGCAAACTTCTTGCACAATGATTGTGGTATGCAAATTATCTGGTCTCACTTCAATTTTACTACATGTTTTTAGGCAAAAACAATTAAAGACAAGAAGAACATACAACAAGCTAAGGAAAAAATAAAAGAAATGATGCATGAAGCAAGACTAATGCGATATTTTGATCATGAAAATGTTGTAAAGATCCATGGAGTTGCTGTTTGCCGTGAACCATTAATGATCATCATTGAAATGGTTTAATTAAAATTTTAGAATTAATTAATTCTGTAGCTAAATTCTAAAGCGATCAAGTGATTATAAACCGTCAGAACAGAAAATCGAAAGCGATGAATTCTGGTTACTTATAGGTGAACGGTGGTTGTTTGTCGGATGTATTGGAATCTCGGAAAGGAAATATTGATGAGGACGAAAAAATTGAAAATATGTCACTCGGGTCGGCTCGTGGTCTTGAATATATTCATGCTCAAAGAATCATTCATCGGGATATTGCAGCTCGTAATGTGTTGTATACAGAGAATCGAGTAGCTAAAATTAGTGATTTCGGAATGTCAAGGCATGGCAATTTTTATGAGATGTCAAGAGGGAACAGGAAGGTACCACTGAAATGGACGGCACCGGAAAGTATGGTAACATATCAGTATACACCTAAAACGGATGTTTTCTCATTTAGCATTCTGCTATGGGAAATTTTTTCGGATGGTGAAGAACCGTACAAAGGAATGACAAGCATTGAAGTAAAACGGATGGTTCGTTTTTTATGTAGAGAAAAATTTATTTTAACTAAAAATAAGCTACAACAATCAAATTATACTGGAGAACATAATGTTGTAAACATCTTTCCTTTCACAGATTTCATGCGGTGAACGTTTGAAAAAACCGGAAGGATGTCCCGACGTCATGTTTCAAATAATGGGAAAATGTTGGGAGCAAAATCCCGATAATCGATACTCCATGTCAGAGGTTAATCTCTTCATCCCAAATGATCAATAAATTTAATGTCTTTTTTTTGGAAGGCATAGCGATTTCCTATGGTGATCTCGAACTTCATAATTTTTCCCACTCAAAACAATATGAAAGATCTGTTTAAGTATTAAATCAAGCAGAAATACATTTGTTATTTAAAACTGATTTCAATTATTGATTCACTTTAGAATTTTTAACAAACTTTTCATTTCCCAGTAATTTTTGAAATTTTTCTATTCTAAATGTTTCCATTATTACTCCACATATCGTTTAATTTGATCTTTTTGAATGTTCAGAACATGAATTACAGGTAGTAAAACAAATTGAAGATATAATAGAACATGCATATTCGGAAGAATCTGAGATCCATTCAAGGTTAATTAGTGATACACATTCTGCAGAAAAGATTAGTTCGAAAGACGACGTAGATGATCTGAATGAACCTTCACGGAGTTTCATTTCTCAGGTATTTTGGCTCTAGCTATTTACTGTTTTAGAAAATTTTCTTCCCTTATCTTAGATGGTTCCTGTCCATTGTTGTTTTGTTCATACTCTTGTTAGCAAACAGCAGGAGTTGGTCTTCCTCTTATAGGCAATTAGCTGCAACGTAACAGCGTTAGTTGTTTTTAAAAAACATGTTATCATGAAAATGTTTTAATGGTATTTTTTAATTAGTATCGTAAAATTCCAAAAAGTAAATTTCTAGACTAAGAGGAAACGAAGGAAGCATCATAGACGGAAAAGAAGACAGAAGAAGTCACGGATACATAAAAAGTCAGCTGAAATTATTAAGTATGTCATTTAGTGCTATTGAGAAATGTTTTTTTTTATGTCTATAACCAATTGCTTTTGTCCCAATGCACTCCAGAAGCGCTATATGCTTATGTAGTTGTCTTTAATGAACCAACTATTTAAGATGGTTTTTTATATAAACGGGTACATTCTACAAAAATAAACATTCCTTATTTTTCAGTGAACGGAAGAAACCCAAATCAAGGCATCGGCACATGAAATCATCACATAATGTACTGTAATATGCACTTTCTATGTGCAATTGATTAACTCAATTAAAAAAATTAATTTAGACTAATGTTCAAAAGCATTTGTGATCAAAGTTGCAAAGCGAATTAATTTTGTGCTAATCAAGCAAACATTGAAAAACAATTTAAAAGTTCTCAAGAATAAAAAACAGGCATCTTTTTGGGAAAAGAACATGTAAAGAGTTAAAAGGGCAAGGGCAAGGCTTACTTTGTTGTTCCCGACTGATTTTTACTTAATCATAAATTTCTGATATTTTCCTCCCTGAAATCAACAACTCTCCGATGTTATTCGGGACAGATGTGCCTGAGTTCGAGTGTTGCCAACCTAGAAAGATATACGTCTTAATCACTTCACGCATTCTTCATACCCTAAACATTTCATATACACAGAGAT